GGGGGGGGGGGAGCAAAGGCCAGAGCCGGCCGGTGGGACGGGGAGGGACCTCGGGGGCCCGAGCCACGGGCCTTGACGGGAAACCCCTCCGGAGGGGAGCGAGGACGGACAGGACGCGGGGCTGCGGCGGCTCAGCCCGCTCCCCCCGAGGGCAGCGGCAGGGCCGGAGCTTGCGGATGCCATTTCATTCCAGGCTGGTGCCGGCCCCCCGGCAAGTCACTGCTCTGCCTCTTCCTTCCCTTCCCCTCCCAAGCATGTTTACGCAGCGAGTTTCGTACCTTCAAAGGGGTTTTGCCTTCTTATTTCAAGCCTCCTACTGGTTTCGGCCTGGCGGAGGGGCCTTGGGACAGAGGCGTGATCCCAGGAAAGGGAGACCCAAGCAGCCCTCTCCCTCGCCCAGCCCCGATCCCCGCTTTACTCGTGCAGCACACAACACACCACCAGACCGCTTAAACCCTGGAAGAGAGCAAGGGCACAAAATACATTCCACTGCCTGAAATCACTGCAGCAAAACCAGCACGAGCATGACACAGCCGCCCCCCCCTCCCCACCCCAGGAATGGCCGGCAGCCTTCCTCACTCTGCCAGCAGTCTTCGGCAGAGGCGAGAAGGTGCAGTCCTTCGCCGAACAGCCGGGTGCCGCTGGGCCAACAACATTCGCCGGAGTCTGCGGGAAGTCCATGAGCAAGGACGCGCAGGGCTGCTTCTTCTCACCCCCGGCCCCGTCAGCCCTCCCCGCAGCTCTCGAAGTACTGGCACATCAGCTCGCGCACTTGCTCAGCCCGGCCATCCTCCATGGCGGCAGGTGCGGGCTGGCAGGGCTTGGGCAACTCGGTCGGCTCGGTGCCCTCCAGCCACTCCTCGTTGAAGGGGTTGTCGTGGGCTTCACAGACGTTGTGCAGGATGCAGCAGGCGAGGACGAGGGTGGGCAGCAGCTCCAGGCTGCAGTCGTCGCACTTCAGGAGGATCTGCCAGCGTGCCTTCAGGCGCAGGAAGGCGTTCTCGATCACGCTGTGCGCCCGCTTCAGGCGGTAGTTGAACTGCAGCTGCCGCTGGGTGAGGTTCTCGTCCTCCTGGTAGGGCTTGAGGATCCAGTCTTGCAAGGGGTAGGTGGCATCGCCCAGCAGCACGTACTTCTGCGCCTTCCCCATGAAGTGCTTGGGTGGGTTGGGGCACAGCCGGCCCTCCTTGGCCAGCACCCACAGGCTGGAGCTCTCCAGGACCGCGCTGTTCTCCATGCTGCCGGGGAAAGCGGTGGAGACGTCCCAAAACTGGCCCAGCCCGTCCACGGTGGCCTGCGTCAGGATGGAGTGCCAGCCCTGGCCGTTGCAGTAGTCGGCGCTGAGGCGCAGGGGCGGATGGATGGGGATGTGAAGGCTGTCCAGGGCGCCGATGCAGTGTGGGAAGCCCCAGCGGGTGCGAAAGATGCGCACCATGTTCTCCAGCTCCTTCTCGTTGGGCAGCCGGAGGTAGAGGGGCTTCAGCAGCAAGACGACGGCGTAGCTCACCTCCCGGACGCACGTCTGCACCGTGGAGGGCCCCACGCCGAAGAGCGGGCTGAGAGTCTGGTACTCCACGTTGGTGGCCAAGTGCCACAGGGCCACGGCCACCCTCTTCTCCAGGGGCAGGGTGGGGTGGAAGTGGGCACTGTGCGGAGCCAGTCCAGGCCGCAGCTGGTTGCAGACATAGAAGAAGGTCTCCTTAGACATCCGGAACTTCTCCAGCCAGTCCTGGGGTCCAAACTCCTTCAGGACCACCCGCTCCCACCAGTCTGCGCTCCTGATGCTGGGCCAGGCGCGGGGGTAGAAGTAGCAGCTGGTTCTCCTCCGGCGAGCGATCAGGAGCTGCAGCGTGGCAGGGAGACAAGAGGGGCATGAGACGGCGCTTCCCGGGTCCCCACCCCGCGCTTCACTGGGACCCCCCCCTCCTCTGACAACCACCTAGCTCAAGCGACCTGCTCAAGGCAGGGAGGACACCCAGTGCCATGTGGCCAGCAGTCCCAACCGGCACTACCACCGGGTCAAATTTTCCTGTTCCTGCGAAACCCCATGGCAAAGCCACCAGGCAAGAGTTGTGGCCCTGGACAAGGTGCCCAGGTGCCGCAGACGAGGAGCCTTCCGGAGGAGTCCCCTTTCAGGGCGGCCACTTGCTCTGCGGTTTTATTTTTTAACAGGTATTGCTGGCTTTCCTGCAACCGGGTGAACTGCGGGCTGGGTCATGATTTGAAAGAGGGAGCAAGTGCCTGCGCTCCTGGCCCCTCCACAGGAATTGTTTTTCTGTTACTAAATTCTAAAAAACATCTTTTAGCCGAAAAGAGGCTTTTTTCCCCTTCCTCGGCAACTGCCCAGGGAAGCGGCTTCCCTGCGTTCCCCCCCCAACAGCTTGTCCTCGCTGCCACGTGTCCGCAGGCCCTTCACAGCCCCCATCCTTTGTGTCCCCCACTTTTGATGTCACATCCCTGTGCCCTCCGCATCCCCTGTCCTTTCTGCCTGGGTTCACATCCCATGTCCTTTGTGTCCCCTCGTCCTTCCTTTCCCACAGAGCCCCGTGTTCCCTACCCTTTGTGACCTCCATGTGTGTCCCCCCCTCCGTGTCCTTTGTGTCCCTGTGTTTCGTGTCCCCCATGTCCAGCACCATGTGGCCCTGCAGCCCGTGTCCCCTTGTGACCCCCATGTCCCCCCATCCCTGTACTTTGCGTCCTGCACATCCCCCTATTCCCCATTTTTTGTGTCCCCGTGGCCTGTCCCCCCCCCATCCTTCATTGTCCCCCATATCCAGCACCATGTGGCCCTGCGGCCTGTGTCCCCTTGTTCCTCCCTGCCCCCCCCCGAGCCCCCCCATCCC